ACCACAGAATGAGCTGTGTTCGCACCAGAAAGACAAGTCAGTCTTCCTGCAGTGTCATCCCTGGAAAGAAAGCTGTCTGGAATCTGAAGGCCTGCATGGAACACCAATTTGTTTCTCTATGAAAGTGGTACTTATTTATCTATTCACATAGAACATGCTTTCAAACTGCTAGGTGGGCAGAAACTGAGGTATGTGTTGGGAGCTCAACCCAGCACACAGTGCTAGGACTTCAACAGTAGAGAGAGACCATCTCCAGCATCATTAAGCTACTGTGCTTAATGGGATCCCATTCATTTCTGAGGACAAATAAATAATAGAAACTGTGTTTTATTATTATAATTTCAATTGTCCGGGATTGCTAAATATTGTACCAATATTCTTTATAGCTGAATTAAAGCACATGAGTCAATGTGAGATGGAGACAAGCCATACATTCATTTCAGTAGGATTCAACCAGTCATTGTTTTCATAGCTCCTCTGGTTTCTTATGGGTTTTCATATCCATGGCTCCATTCACTACCTGTAATGAGCATTAAGTTTTAGTAACAGCCCTGCCTTTTTACCAACCTTTTACCAAGTGCGTTCAGATTTGGACTGTACAAAGCCATATGAAGAGGGAAGGGTTAAGGTTCCTCCAGGCAGATAAAAACAACTTTACTGACATTTTGAAAGCAAATGATTTGTTAAGGTAAAAACTTTATGTGTGATTAGTACCTTATCAGAAATATGAAACGTGCCTCCAAATTACATGTTTACATGTTATCATGTTTGTGAACAACACAAACTCCACCTTTTTGAATTCCCCATTTCCTCCTCTGCATGAAAAAAAAATGCAAACAAGAAACGACTCCTTAAATCAGGGAACCCTGTCCAGGATGCAGATTACAATTCTCTCGTAAGGAAAGCAACTTAAGAGACCAGATTCCTAACCCGGAGCCTCGAAAGTGTGAATGGGCACACGCTCCCCCCCCCCCCCCCCCCCCCCCCCCCCGAACGGGCGACGGCCCCCCCCCCCCCCCCCCCCCCGCGACTCAGTCCAGTTCCATCTCGAAGACGCCTCTGCCAATCATCCGAGAGGCGCGCCGTCACAAATTGAGCCTCGGCACGCCTCGTAGTCAGGTGATCGGACTCGGAAGACTTCCCGGCCGAACAGATAGACTTCGGGAAGCCTGCGATTGCCGGGCGCCGCGATGGCTGCGGACCCTTGGTGAGTGACGGAGGGCGCAGAGGGCAGGCTGGTGACGAATCCCAGCAGACAGATTAAGCAAAGTCGGGGAGACAAACGGTTCGAGGCTTGAGGGGCAGCCCACGAAGGACACCCCACCCTTGCTGCTCCTCCTCTTGCGCATGCTCCGTGCTTCTCCTTTTGCCGCTGAGAGTGCCTGCAGAACGGGGCGGGCTGATGATGACACACCTTTTCCCGGAAGGCGGGGCTCTCGACCTCTGCAACTTTAAGGCGGGTGGACTCCAACTCCCAGAACTCCCAGCCAGTTGAAGTGCGTCCCTTTAAAAGAGGACGAAGTTGAAAAACATTGCTATAAAACAAGAGTCACAGTCCGTCCTCCCCTTCCGTATTCTGCTCTTCCCCTTTGGTTTCATAAACGGGAGCATTTCTACAGGCAGGGACCTGTATCATTTTGGCGTAGTAGCCCTTGGGAGTGAAGAGCTGCACCTGAGGGAGCTAGAAGCAAAGTTTTCCAGGCAGGGATTTCAGTGATGGATAATTTTTTACAGTTGGACACTTTCCCTAAAACTATAGGTACCCCTTTGGCAAGTTTAGTGTAACTGCTTAGTACACACCTGTCTTTGCTGATTGGTTTTGAAAAGAAAGTGGGGTCAAGCTTTTGGATGGGTGACCATCAGAAAACCCTAAAAATATGGGCTAGAGCGAATGCTTACAAAAAAATAAAAATAGAAAAAACTAAATGGGGGTGGTTGCATGTTTGCAACATTGGGGGTGGTTGCATGTTTTTGGAATAAGTTTATTAAATTTTATATGTGCCTTTTATAAAAATGGTTAGTTCAAAAGGGTACTGCTAGACTTCTTATTTTGGAATATCACAGGTTACACAGCTTTCTTCCTGCAATGTTTGTTTTAGGACAAAGTTGTATAAGGATCATTTGCTGTGACACATTGGGATATGATGAAATCATTTTAAGTGTCTAAAATATGTGTGATCTATGTTATGTTTGAATTAGAATCTGCAACATTTGTTTTCTAGAATATATTCTCTATTTTTTTAGTATAGGTAGTCCTCGACTTACAATAGTTCATTTAGTGACCGTTTGAAATTACCACAGCACTGAAAAAAGTGATTTATGACTATTTTTCATATTTGTGACAGTTGCGGCATCCCCATAGTCATGTGATTTACATTTGGATGCTTGACAACTTACTCACATGATGGTTGCAGTGTCCTGGAGTCATGTGATCCCCTTTTGTGACCTGCATTGACAAGCAAAGTCAATGAGGAAACCAGAGCCACTTAATGTCCATCTTACTAGTTTAAAAACTACAGTGATTCACTTAACAAATGTATCGAGAACAGTTGTAAAATGGGTCAAAGTCACTTAACAAATTTCTCACTTGGCAACATAAATTTTGGGCTTAATTGTTGTTGTAAATTGAGGACTACCCGTAATTTGAACCTACCCGGAGTTCAAGAACATTTGATATTTTGAAGATTTTGAAAAAAAATATTTTTACAAAGTTTTGGCCATTTTTCACAAAGCACATTTCTAAACTATACATTGTATGAAGTATCCCCCTGGTCCATTTTAAAGATCTAGTGTCTGAGTTAATATAACATACAAAATGACAGAATTACAGTGTTCAATGTAGTGTTTTATAAACTGTATTATGGTGTAATGTGATTATTTATTAATCCTCCAGACTTGGAGGAAATGTTCAGGGAACAGATATGTCAAAAGTAGATTTATTTAAGGCTATATGGCCATCGTTATGCCTTGTGGAAACAATCCACAATAAGAATCTCTGCCTGCTATCAAGCATGGAAGTCATAGTATCATGGTTAAGAGATATTTTACTATCTCAGAACTTGGATGTTGCTGCTGAAAGAATACATTTTGCTTCATATCAAATAATTGTACAGGGTATATCAGGAAATTTAACATGAAATTTAAGCATAATGGTCATGTAGCAAGATAGTGACACCCCGCTTCCCCCAATGCAGATAGTCTGCAAAAGAATGGATGATGAAGAATAAATTAAATTCTTTGGAGTGGCCACATTGAAGTCCAGGTCTATTCAAATGTGTTAGAATGTAAAAGAGCAATTCATACAAGAAAACCTGATTTATTAAATTTGTATGCTGCCCATCTCACTGTCAAAAGACTCTTGACAAAACTTTCAAAAAGATGCACCATGGATGCCAAAATTCCTATAGAAAAAAAGATCACTAATTACAAGAAGTGTTTGATTGCAATTATTGCCTTTAAAGGCGATATAAAGTCCTAGTGAATTAAAGGAAATAACTTTTTCATCCTGGGGCATCATAGATTGGCCTTAATAGGATGGAGAAATGGAAGACCAGTTCATCCTTTATAGCTTTGGATATACCTGCCATGTTTATATCAATGTATAACTCCGTGCAATGGGCATGCATACATATATTAGGACCATCACATGTATGAACAATTATTGTCCATTAGGATAATTTACTTGTAGGAACAGTTTTTGTATAGACAGTAGCCTTGGCAATCCTCCATTATAGATGTTTAAAAAGTAAACTGGTATGTTAACAAAATAAATCAAACTTCTCATTCTCTACTCATTTGGCAGGACACACACATACACACACAATTTCCTATACTACACAATGGTTGAAGTCTTTAACTTTAGTAGATTATTTGCTACAATGGCTGCTTGGAATGAAAGTCTAAATAGGAAGGAATGGAAGCAAACTTCCTTTGAGGAAAATGAGGCATGTAATAAAAGTTGTTCTAGGAACGAGATTTTACTGTTGTTTAATATTGTCTCTGTTTTTTTTTAAAAAGGTTGTTATTGTACGATTCTGCTTGCTATATTGCACAAGAGATAGCTGAAAAAATTCAAGAACACAACAGATACCAGAGGAGTGGTGAAAGTACAACTAAGGTATTGCTTCCTCAGAGCAGCCCATTTTCTTTGTTTTAGATTTTGTTGTAATTTTTAGTATCAGTAGTTAATGCATTATGATTGCAATGCATTCTTTGTGATTGATGCAGAGCTCCCTTTCATTGGCAAAGCCTTCCCATGACAAGTTTGCAAAAGGATGTTCATTACAATTCCTATGTTAGTACCCAGCAAAGATTACAAAAGGAAATCATGAACTCGGAAGCTTAAAGAAACTGCCATTTTTTTTAAAAAAATGTTGATCTTGTTAACTACTTCTAATAATGAATACAATAAGTATTAAAAAGACTCTAAAATGTTTCAGGACTATTTATTAACTGTTGATATTATAACTTTATAGCAAAAAAGCATTTTTTGTAGGACAACATTTAAGTGAATCTTCATTCTTGAAATACACATCTAAGTCATACACATCTAATTAATAATAATTAAGGACATTAATTTCTGATTGTTAAAGCAGAATCCAGATTGGTACGGAAAAGCATATAGTGTGTTTCTATCAATCACACTTAAGCTTTTGTGAGAAATCCCTGCTTTAGGAAATATGTGTGTAGCAATCTTTAGATCCCAACTCTAGATCTTTAGATACCACTTTTAAAAGTATATGTATAGATCTTATAGTTTCAGGGTAATTTTATTATTTCTTGATCATGTCCTTTCTTCCATTGGAACTACAGTCTTCTGATTGGATTTACTTTTATAGGAATGTGCAGTTAGAGCAAGTACTAGTGTGATTGCATACGTCTACAGTCAGGATCAACTAATGCTCCTCATCTAGCTTTCTCTTCTATAAGAATGTTGTCTTAGCTTGCAAATGTTTTGCACAGCTGACAAATAACTTTGTCAAGAAAGCTTTGTATATTCATAGACTTGCCTCAATATGATTAGAGAGCCAGAATTTGAATCCAGTATAAACAGACCTGAAACCATGACAATATATATTGCCATAATAGTTGATGTTATGGGTTGATGTTGAGAATTGCTCAGATCAGTCATGCTTTCCATGGTTAGAGGTTTTAATAAAAATGCCCTTCCGCTCTGTTAGCCAAGCAGGGTAAATGTCAATAGTATCTTGTTTTTCTTGAGATTTTGCCACTTCTGCTTTAAAAAAATAATTTAAAAAAATGGAATTGAAATTAAAAGACAAAGAGAAGAAGGGAGATGGCAAAATACATGTGCTTTTCTCCCACTCTTTCCTTCTTTTCCCACTCTTTTGGTTGACTGATGACTACTTTTCTGTGGAAACGTAAAAAAACTTATTATTATTAATTAATTAAACCTAATTATTAATTAACAACTGAACACATTATAATACATTAAAAGTATTATACATTTAATACATTAAAAAAAGAACCAGGTTTGCATAACGTATCAGGCTAAAATATGGTTGGCTAGTTTGTATGAAGCTAACAGTCCTGTAGTTGAAATTGTTCTTGTATTGAGTGGTTTCTGCTTTTTAGCAGAATGTGGGCTCTGTTTCCTTTTTAACTTCCAGCTGCTCTGTCATAATGTACAAATCTCCTTTCATAAGCAAACTTATTTGGACATAAATCCAAGTAAGTGTGTTTAGTGTAGATTGATAATGAGTCTTGCATCTTTTAGATAAATGTGTCCAAAACAGGACTGTTGTTTTATGTTTCAAGAGACTGGAGGGCCATGAGAGTGCTGATTCACAATGAGTTGTAGCCTGGGAAAGGTCTTGCAAGTGGATGGCATTGCTTCATTATCTTAGATTATAGTGACATGAGATTCTAGTAATTCCTGGACATTAACTGTGTTAACTGTCAGTTTTTACCACCTTTGTGCAATTTGCTGCCCTTTGACTCTCAGTGGATCTCAGCAAGGAAGCTGCTCTGCTACATTCAGAACCCTGACCTAGAATGAGGCTACTGAAGGATGATTTAGAAGCAGTTTCCCCATCAATGCACAAGGCATTGTAGGTGCGGACCAGCCCTCATCTAATCATGCTGTATTCCTGAGAAGATTGGTTCCCCTCATCAATTTCTGTAGTTAAGCTTTCTTTATTCTGTGAAGAAAACTTCAGAAACTTTTTTTAAAAAACTCTAGGCTTATTGCTAGTCCTTAAAATAATATTTAGACTTTTCCAAATCCACAGAGAGTAGAGTTATCATTTTCATGTGGGTATTACATACACAGTCATTGTCACAGAAAAGGAAAATTAAAAATCTGGAACAGCTCAGGAACATGAGGTAGCATAGATACAGTAGCGTAGAGACAGTGTAATTTAAGAATAGATGTCCTGATAATTATGTAAAGAATTTGATTTGTATTCATTATTCCTTCCTTTGGATGTTACCATATTATGTCTTTGGGAAACAGATAAGCTGCACTTTGTTTTATCTTTCTCCCTTTCTAGGTCAGTGTTGCACTCAGGTCTTCATTGCAAAATCTTGAAGAAAAAACCAATCGCCTGAAGGACCTGTTGTTTCACTCTGTATCAACACGTCAGATGTATCCATGTAAACAGTTGTAACTGGGAGGTCAATATGACAATTATGGTTCATTTTATTTTGGAAAACACCTAGCTGATTTACACATGTGCTTTTAAAAATCCCTCAATTTGGGGAAAACCCAAATGCAGAAAGTATTCTGACCTTTTATCTTTATTTGATTTACTTTTCATTTCCTGTTCAGAGCTTCTCTTGAAAATACCTGCAGAGTTGCACTCCAAAGTATATCTATTTTTATGGGCAGCTAACATTTTAATTGTGTGAAATGGATACCCTAAGCTTTTGCAAAACTTAAGGTGCTAGTTTTGCCTGTTAAAATCTTTCCCAAATCTTTCCAACTTCAACAATGGCTCTGCCTTATGGGTAGATTCTGAGGGCTGCAGAAACAGTGTTGGGACTTTACAGTCCTGCAATCCTTCCTGATATGCATGTCTGTCTGGAGTATAATTGCATGATAAATTGACACCCTCTTTGATAATAGTGTGCGTGAGTCAAGCTTCTGCAAAGACTTTCATGACATCTGCTATCATGGTTTATTTTTTCAGTACATGTGTTCATTTTATAATTTGTCCTAAATATTGGATTGAAGATGGACTTTCACTTTTACAGCTCTTTTCCGCATGCAAATTATTTTATTGTTCTCATTTTATGTCTCATAAAGTATACTTTATAAAACCAGAATTATTGAAAAAGAGATGACTTGTGATGTTTGTCAGAAGCTTAGATTTCACTTGAGTTCCTTAGTCAGGATATAATATTCTGTTCTGTTAATAATGTGTGCCATTCTTTAGCTATTTTATTCATTTTTTATCCAACAACGATCCTTAATCCAGTTCTTTGCAGAACCCAAATAGAAGGAGAAAGGCGGCAAATTTTAGTAGATGAACTTTTCACAGCACACAGAAAACTCCAAGCATCTTTCCAAAATGAAAACACAGAACCTGATGTAATAAGGTATAGTATTGCAGATGAGCAGCAAATTCAGTGGCATAGTCTTGAAAACATCTCTGAAGAATCTGTGTTCCTCTGTTCAGTTTACAGGAATTTTAAGAGCACTCAGATGATATGACAGGACTGATTTGATGTTTGTCTTATTGAAGCGGGTATCTGCTTCCTTCTGTAGCAACAACTCTTCAGTGGTCACTACTAACATGGTGGCAGCACTATCTCTATTTTTAACAGTAGTTAGGAAGTCAAAGACTAGAAGAACAATCTGTGCAGGAAACTAGGTCTACAAGTAATCCACACTTAACGACCACATTTGAAACCAGAATCTGATTGAGGAAAGCGGTCATTAAGCAAAATATCACATGGCATTTTTGCTCAACAACTGTAATCAGGGCAATTTCCCTTGTAATCATTAAGCTATCTCACCAGTTATTGAGTGGAGGGGATCTTAATGAAGATACATGGGAATACTCAGGGAAGTGGGGGAAGATCTGGGAGGTTCAGTGTAGCCCAGGGGTGTCAAACTCAGTTTCATTGAGGGCCACATCAGGGTTGTGTTTGACCTTAGGGGGATGAATGGGCGTGGCTGGGGTGGGCATGGCCAGGGCTGGACATGGCTAGCTTGATGTCCTGCAGCTCTCTGCCAGTGAAAAAGGAGCCCAGGAGGGTCACACACGGCCCTCGCGAGCTCTGTTTTTACTGGCAGAGACACTGCGAGCCAGCCCTTCGTTGTATCCAGTGTGGTCAGATCTAAGCACCCCATGGGCCAAATCTGGCCCACAGGCATTGAGTTCGGTGTAGGCCATGCATGAAGCAGTCACATACATCCACGAAGGGCTGAATACTCATAAAGCCTCCACAGTGGGACACAAAGCAGCTGCCTGGTGGGAAGTTCCAAGTGCCCACGAGTCTCTAATGGCATTGTGCCAAGCACCCCCTCCCCCCCCCCCCCCCAGAACCAACAAACACATGGGAAGCCCAGCCACCTGTGCTGCCCTGCACTCGGCCACTCCAACTGACTTTCAGTATTTTCTTCACTGCTTATGAGGTGCACCCAGCTTGATCCTTTATAAAAAAGAAGAAACAAAATTCCAAAGGCAGCTGCTCAGCTTCAGTCCCCTAAAATGCCTTTTTTTGCTGGGCATTTAAGAAATGGGAGTTGCAGCTCCCCTGCAGTTGGTTGTAAGTGAAGGCAAGCTACGAAGCACCCGAATTTTGATCATGTAAGGCAGTGGTCCCCAAACTTTTTTGTACCAGGGACCAGTTTCATGCAGAAACACTTTTCCAAGGACTGGGTAGGGGCGGTGAGTCCGAGTTTGGTGGTTTGCTTGCAGACGTTTCATTACCTGACTAGGTAACATCTGATGTTGTTACCTAGTCGGGTAATAAAATGTCCACCAGCAAACCACCAAGTTCAGGGAGCGCCAAGGCCTCCTCATTGCAATCCTGAGCAACAGATATTCTCTTCTATTGGGACATTTAAAACGGAGGGTTTCAGCTGCAGATTCAGGAACTGCGCCTGGTGAGGAGCGCCTTCAAAACTGAGCGCTGGGCGGCGGCGGCCCCCAGCACTGGCTTTCTTGCTGAGAGCTCCCTAGACTCTTGGCTCTGGATGTTCCAAATATAAACCGCGCAGTAAAGCAGATGAGAAAGTCCAGAAACCGAGTTGGGGGTGGAGGGGGAACAGGAGAAGATCGGCCGAGCAGGGTGAATTCCACACATCTAACCTAGGCAAAGAATTGTTGATGTGACTTTTGAAAGGCATTCATGGCTCGCCCCCACCCCACCCCAAAGAGTTTTATAAGAAAAAGTAGGACAGTGTTCTGAACCTTGCACAGCAAACTCTTTCCCTCCGGGGCGCCTTTAGGGCCAAATTTTCCTTAAACGACTTCAACCATTTAAGCTGAGATAGCTACCAATCGGAAGGTATGGATCTGCGTCCGACTCTCTCGCCTAAATTAAGGGGTCGGCAATCGGGGGGCTGATCTGAAACTATGGCTTCCTCCCTCCCCTTCTTTGCGGCCCGGTACAAAATGATCCACGGACCGGTACCGGTCCGGGGCCTGGTGGTTGGGGACCCCTGATGTAAGGGTACTGCAACAGTGTAGTCACAGGAGAATTCACTGCTACACATTTGATCAGGAAAATCAGTGCAAGAATTGAGTTTTATACTGATAATATAGTATTGCAATATTTGATCACTATATTTTACTCTTCAGATTATTGTTACTAGCCACAAATGCATTCCTGGTATAGAGTGCTAAATTGCAAAAAAAGGCAGTGTTGGGATTTTAATCAGCTATACTGTTTTCTAAAAGCTTAAAATTGTTCAAAGATATATAGTAAATATTATATGCTAAAATTAAGCTGTTTTAGGTAGAGAAACTGTATTCTGATTTGTCTTCGTTGCTGAGAGAAGTATTGTGGGGGATTATGTCATTAATTGTTCTGTGACGTTGGTAACTTGTACAGCATCTTGTCAACTCTTCTGACTTTCACTCTGATTGTGTTTCCATAATGCTGTTTGTTTGTTTGTTGGAATCTTATGTACAGGTGAAACTCGAAAAATTAGAATATCGTGCAAAAGTTCATTTATTTCAGTAATGCAACTTAAAAGGTGAAACTAATCTATGAGATAGACTCATTACATGCAAAGCAAGATAGTTCAAGCCGTGATTTGTCATAATTGTGATGATGATGGCTTACAGCTCATGAAAACCCCAAATCCACAATCTCAGAAAATTAGAATATTACATGCAATCAATAAAACAAGGTTTGTACATAGAACAATATCGGACCTCTGAAAAGTATAAGAATGCATATGTACTCAGTACTTGGTTTGGGCCCCTTTTGCAGCAATTACTGCCTCAATACAGTGTGGCATGGAAGCTATCAGCCTGTGGCACTGCTGAGGTGTTATGGAAGACCAGGATGCTTCAATAGTGGCCTTTAGCTCTTCTGCATTGTTCGGTCTCATGTCTCTCATCTTTCTCTTGGCAATGCCCCATAGATTTTCTATGGGGTTCAGGTCAGGCGAGTTTGCTGGCCAATCAAGCACAGTAATCCCACGGTCATTGAACCAGGTTTTGGTGCTTTTGGCAGTGTGGGCAGGTGCCAAGTCCTGCTGGAAAATGAAGCCAGCATCCCCATAAAGCTTGTCTGTGGAAGGAAGCATGAAGTGCTCCAAAATCTCCTGGTAGACGGCTGTGTTGACCCTGGACTTAATGAAGCACAGTGGACCAATACCAGCAGATGACATGGCTCCCCCAATCAACACAGACTGTGGAAACTTCACACTGGACTTCAAGCATCTTGCAGTGTGTGCTTTTCCATTCTTCCTCCAGACTCTGGGTCCTTGGTTTCCAAATGAGATGCAAAAGTTGCTCTCATCAGAAAAGAGGACTTTGGACCACTGAGCAACAGACCAGTTTTGTTTTTCTTTAGCCCAGGTAAGACACTTCTGACATTTGTTGTTCAGGAGCAGCTTGACAAGAGGAATGCGACATTTGAAGCCCATGTCCAGGATCCATCTGTGTGTGGTAGCTTTTGATGCACTGACTCCAGCCTCAGTCCACTCCTTGTGAAAGTCCCCAACACTTTTGAATGGCCTTTTCCTGACAATCCTCTCCAGGCTGCGGTCATCCCTACTGCTTGTGCACCTTTTTCTTCCACACTTTTCCCTTCCACATAACTTTCTATTAATGTGCTTTGATACAGCCCTTTGGGGACATCCAACTCCATTTGCAATTACCTTTTGAGGCTTTCCCTCCTTATGGAGGGTGCCAATGATGGTTTTCTGCACAACTGTCAGGTCAGCAGTCTTTCCCATGATTGTGATTCCTACTGAACAAGACAGAGACCATTTAAAGGCTCAGGAACCCTTTGCAAGTGTTAACTAGCTGATTAGAGTGGGACACTTTGAGCCTAGAATATTGAACCTTTTCACAATATTCTAATTTTCTGAGATTGTGGATTTGGGGTTTTCATGAGCTGTAAGCCATAATCATCTCAATTATGACACATCACAGCTTGAACTATCTTGCTTTGCATGTAATGAGTCTATCTCATATATTAGTTTCACCTTTTAAGTTGCATTCCTGAAATAAATGAACTTTTGCACGATATTCTAATTTTTCCAGTTTCACCTGTATATGAAATACTTGAGGAGAAAAAACCCTTTGTGCATTTTAAACATCAGCTCTGATGAACTGCCAGTAGAGGGAGCATACCTCTGTTGAGCAAATCATTCTGCACCATAAATGATTAATCTTTATGAATATTTATTCTTTCCAAAAATAATCTATGTATCATGTTTTTTCTTTTGTGTAAGCAGTGTTATGCAGAAAAGGAATAAGCAATAGAAGGCTTATATGATATAAGGGTGGGGAAGGAAAGAACTAAAACTGGTTTATCCCAATACCATCCTATCCCTCAAAACTATCTTGCTCCATGTCATTCTGCTACCACTTCCTACAGTCCCTTTTATTCTTTAACCTTGTCACTGCTTTTTGAAGATTTCATAAATTACATCCAATCACAACTCTCTTCTCCTTCATTTCAATCCATTACTCTTTCTTCAGTTCCTCAGTTCCCATGTATGATCAAATCCTTTCAGATTATTTTTTGCCATAAGGGCCATTTATTTATATGAATATGGACTAAATATCACTGTATAGCATATACAGCACCCACACATCCTTGACACCATATCTTTCTATTTTACACATTTTACACATAAGAGTCCAAAAATTGCCTCTAGACAAGTACAGGCATATACATCAAATAAATTAAATAAATAACTAAGTAAATGAGCAAGCAAGCATCTTTAGTATCCTGTTGCCACTGCATTCTCCAAGTTTCATGTTGTGACATACTCCCACTTGTATAACAAATGGACAAAAGTATTATGCTTTTATGCGCAAGTTTTGCTTCTTTCAATAAGCATTCCTTTGCTGGAACAGGCCACATATTGCCCACTGTGTTTTTATTAGTATTTGTATATTTTT